GAGTATGATAGGAAAAGTTGTTTACGAAAGCAGGAATGGGTCGATCGTTCCATAGGGAAGGTATAGGGAAAAATGAGTCTTTTTGCAATAACTCAGGAAGGGCTCGGCCAATCCTTCTCATCTTCTTCTCTCGACCGAGATATTGTTAAGACTAACCTGTGTAGAAAATTTCATCGCGATCGAACTCTCCTTTCGAACGTTATCGTGTAAACGGCCGGACGGACACACTGACCGATTCTAGAAGTGTACTCACTTTTTGAGTACACAAAAATCATTTCAATCAACATCAAAATATCTTGAAAGTCGTTATTTAATATGGAATAATATAGGTGCAATAACATGTTATAATGAACAAGTTCAAATATCATTTCATGATGTATCATATCATCATTCAATAACAATTGATAAAAAAAACTGATAAAATATAATCTTACTGATTTATCATTATCATCAATTGTACTTGCTTCGTATGAAACAGGGAAATTTTTATGTATATTATATCAATCATGGGATTCAAATATGCGTCAATGGACATTAAATACAGAAAATAAGAGAAAATTCAAACTTAATTTATGTGAAGATTTTATTGTTATTGGAACATCTCAAAGATTAATACGTCTAATGAGTTTATTAGATATTCAACAAAGAATAATTCATCTTCAAGGTCTAATTATTTCAATAACTTATCAAAATCAATTATGGATTATTCATCATTCAACACAAGGTTTTTCTTTTTCTTTTTTAATTGTTATAAGAAAAAAATTTGATATTAATTTAAAATAGGTCTTCCAAAAGAACAAGCTATGCCATATGTTTATATTGATATTGAAAATGGTAATTATTTAACTGGTCCATTACCATTAACACCAAAAACAAAATTAATTTGCATTGGGTTTACTCTTTTAATCTTTATTTTCTTTTTTTTTAATTACAATTTATTTTAGTTTTCTGATAGTGGACAATGTTTTTATTTGGAAAAATCTGGTTATTTAACTATGCTTAGACGTACAAAAGTAAATGAATTTGAACCATTATTAATTTGCAATCTTAAACAAGAGGTATGTTTTATTTAATAAATTTATTTCAAACAGAAACATCGAATTTTATTTTCATTAATTAATTAGGCTGAGAAAAATAATTTAGCAAATTATTGGTTATTAGGAATAAATGATTTTGATGGAAAATTTCAATTACGTGTTATTGAACTTTGTGATCATTCATATCCTGAACTTGTTCCATGCCAGTTGTTTCTCTTTCATTATGTTTATATGAAATAAATACATAAAAACGTCAACTTGAAGTTAGTTTTTTTATTTTCTTTCTATTCTAATTTCTTGAAAGAAAGACAATGTTTAATTAAAATGTTTGCTGTAAGTTAAGAAATAGAAAAATATATTAAACAATAAATTTTTATTTAATCTATTTATTTGTCATGTAAATCAAATCGAGGATGTCGTGCATTTGAAATTTGTCAATTAATGGATTCCGTAGCACTACAATTAGCAATAGAATATGCAACTAAATCAGGAAAATTAACATTAACTCAAAAAATAAAAAGAAAAAGAGTTAAAGAAAATCAATATATCATCATCAAATAATTCTGTCAACAAATGTTCCATTTAATAATGCATTTCGAAAAAAAAATTGACAATTCATCCAATGAAACACCAACAAATGATGAATTAAGTAAATGGAAACCATCAATTAATAAATCTCGTCTTCCAACAACAAATAAAATCACAACACAGGTTTTATTTCATTTTTTTAAGTGTTTTTATTTACTTTTGTTTTTGAAAGTTCATTTAGATTGATGTTAATGTTAAAACATCAAATGAAAATATTAATGATGAAGAACATTGCAATATTGTACAGCCGTCGAGCTCATATTCTTTAAACTGTTCAATTTTTTTTTCGTTGTTAATACCTTATTGTTTACATCAATTAGGTCGTCAGATATCATCAGAACAAAATTTTTTTTATAATATCACGTGGTTCACAAGAACAAGGATTATTCATTACAATCATCAGATTTTTATTATGTTGTTTATTATCATATAGATATAACTCATGAACTTATGAATGTGTGAGGACACACACCTGATGAGAAGGGGAGGACTGTTAACGGTGACTCACATTCCGTCCACCCTCAATTCTATATCTTTTTTCTCTTTCTTCTTCTTTCTATGATATTGTTATTGTTATTGTTATTTCTCTTTCTTTCTCTTTTGATCTTCTTCTCTTCTCTATGGATGTATATATATGTACGTGAATTTAAAGACATTTAAGAATATATATAGAGGATATCAATAAAAGTATACAGCTCGTCGGTTACGAGCTAACATAGAGGCATGAAAATTATGTTTGGGTGAAGAAAATTGATCTTTTTTGGCTGCTACAGTCTTCTTTACTCTATACACTATATTATAGAATTTTTTCCATAGAATTAAAGATAAAATTGTTCTTCACAAAGTGACATAAGATTGAAGAGTATCTGAACTCACACTGCAAATCTGGTTTCCATAAAACTAGAGCTAACTAATCATTAATATATCATTGTTATTGATAAATGATTGCCCTTTCATTTGGTATATTTGAAATAATTTTTTCTCTCGTAAACTAGAATTCCTAGAAAAATTTTGATGGCTTATTCGAAAAAAACGCAAAACTCCGACTGTAATCGAATGTTTTCAAATTTTCTCAGATTCGTTTAAAAGGCTGAAAAATGAACGAATATTTATTCTACTTACTTTTCGATCACTCGTTATATAATATTCTTCTCCTGTCAATTTGTGGTCATTGGTTTTTTTTTGTTTATCTTTTATATCCTATCAACTGTAATAGAATATATATTCTTTCCTATTATAATATTATAAAACGGGTACTATTTTTCATCGACTAGTAGTTAGTGTTTGATTTCTCAACGATTATTTGAATCCACTCAGTTCTTTATTCGAGAACTATGGAATCTATCATAAACAATAGATGAAACGATCTCAAAGGATATTTTATCCATTGATTATCATTTCAATTAAAACGGATACTACTATCGAAATTCATTGGATTTACCCTAACGAATTTAAACAGAACAAATCCAAATCTTCATTTCCTCTTTTCGATATTGAAACCATTCCTAAAATTTATTCAACAGTGTTTAAATAGAATCTCTAATTAATCTATCTGATATATGTTATCACTTCGAATAGAAGATTGAATATCTAAACTGATTGTTATACTAGAGTATACCACATTACATAATTCGATTCAATATAAAATAAAAATATGATGAGATTTTTTCTTTTATAACGACTTACCGAAAATAGTTCTCAATCGAATAAAACTAAAAAATTTAAACAAAAAAAGAAAGCATCAAGGCCAATATTAACTTTCACTTCCGGTAGAATATCAACAAAAAAAACCGAAACTTCGAACTCGAACAATCCCTTTAAAATAAATCGTTCGTTATTATATTGAATCAAATTGAGCATTAGATGCTGGTATACTTTGTTATCAACCAATTGATTTCGAAGAATTTCATAAACAAATAAAAATAGATCTTTATCTTAAAATAGGATCTAAAATTAATGGATTTGTCTCGATTATCAATCTTTTATATTTACATTACCTTCAATAAAAGTCGCTTTTACTAGTGTAATCAGAGCTAAACGCCGGCACAAATCATCTTTTTTTCTTTTATTATCTTATTAATAAATCTATTCTTTAGAAAAATAAAACAAAGAGTAATAAACTGTAAATTGGTTGAGATGCCAACCATACCTACAAAATCAACAACAATAACAACAAAAAAGGAGAAAAATGAAGAGCAATTTGATATTAAACAACAATTTATTCTTCGAATGCCATCAATAATCGTTTTCTCTTTTCAATTCAGTAATTTTTTTTTAAAATTGTTTTGATTTTTCGAAGGGTGAATATGCAAGACGTTTACGTCAGTTGATTGATTCTGGTGATGAAAATATTCATCAACGTCTTTTTATTGATTTAAATCCTGAACGAAGATGTGCTCGTCTTAAATTTGATGATACTATTTTTAAAGCTACTCTCTATGACTTACCATCTATAATAGAAACATATAAAACATTTTATCGAAAATTTTATATAAAATAGATGATATTGATCAACTAAACTAAAATTTTTATTTATTTTTAAATTAAAATCAAATTTTAGATTATTGTTTGTCAATTACCGGCTGATCGTAGTTCAACTGATAATGATGAAAATGAGAAAAAAAAAGATAAAGAAATAAAATTTCAATGATCACATAGGTCTATACCTTTATTTAAATCAATAAAACTATTTTTTTTTCTGATTTATTTTATAATTTTAGTGACACCACCAATAAAAAATGTACGAAAACGATGTTTTTGTAAAGTAGATCGAGATAAAATGGAAGAAGAAGTAAGACATTTGTTTCAGTAAGAAACTTGCTTTGAGTTTTTATTTAACAAAAAAAATAATTGAATTATTTTTCAAGAGCTGATTATGAAGCAATTGATCTTGAATGGGAAGTTATTTATGATGATGATCAACAAATAGAAGTTAATAAACCAATAGAAATAAATTCACTTGGTATGAAGACAATAGAAAATAATTTTTTTCTTTTTGTTTAAATATTTAATTTTTATTTTTAGGGACATACTGATCTATTTGGTGGTGTTCTTAGTCAATCGGATGAAGAAGAAACATCACAGAAAGGTTTATCATAGATTAACTCATTTCAAATAAAACGCAAATAAACAGACTAAATAGATCTACAGATCAGAATATATCACAGGATCGTTTTCTTCATTCTGCCTTACATTCTATAGGACATTTTCACTCGCTCATCCTCTTCTGCAAGACCTAGGATAGAACATAAAAAAGTTCCTTCTTCGAGGACACATCTTACAAGACAGAAGATCTTTCTACATCTAACCTTCAAGATGATCTTTTTGTTACTTTTTTCAAAAGGATATTAATCTTATCTATATATAACATATGATGTCAAATATCATAGATCCTTTAGTGATACAAAAAATCATTCACAATAATCATCTTAATAGATCTTATCAGATGTTATCCAGCAGAAATGAAATAAACAATAAAAAATATATTTGGCATTCATAAGGAGAGTAAAACAATAATAAAACAAACATAAAGATGCAAGATTCAATATCTAATTAATATAAACAGATGGACAACGAGAAAGGATAAATCTTGTTTTTATTACTTTTTATTCAATTTATCATAACAACGAATCAATCATCTTCTCAATCTGATTTTATGATAAATCTCTTCATCTTTGAATAACATTTCAATCCAGTTGAGCTAAATTATCTTTCCACTGAACGTACTAGTCACTAGTACAGTATGTACTAGACCAGAACTTTATACATAGGACATCTTGGATCAGGATTCGACATTTTGCTGGAAGAATTCGCCCTAGACAACTCTTCAGATAGATCTTGACGAGCTCTATCCGATGGATACCTTACTTTTCCGATTTGATCCCTCCTTCCTACAGAAAACCTTCAATTAATGACAAAATAGCTAGCTGATTCATATCTGCCTGATGCAATTCGGTCAGATGCACTCTCCAAGTTCGAGACACACCTATTCGGATAGATCTTGACGAGCTCTATCCAATTGACACCTTACCATTTCGACTTTGCCACCCCATTACACAGAAAACCCATCATTTTATCTCAACTCACCAATTCCAAGCATCCGACCTGGTGCAATGTATCAGCAATACTCTTCCACTTCGAAACATAGCTCTCCATATAGATATCGATGAGCTCTATTCAGTGGACACCTTATTTTTTCGATTTACCCATTCCTTCATAGAGGTAACCTGCAATTAGTACCAGATTAGGAAATCAGCTAACCCACAGCTATATATCCACACTCAAAAAGGTTGAAATGTTGTTTTTCTTTGTAGATTTAAATCCTACGAGCTGGTCGAACGTCGAAATTCTAATATAATATTGTAATTCATTATTGTAATATACTGTTACAAGACAGTTGATGATTTTTTAGGTAATTTGGATGAGATAGATATGTATGAAAAATAAATTTCATGTGTATTTTGTGGGGTGTGGGTCGGTGTGGGTGTGGGTGTGGGTGGGTGTGGTGGGTGTGGGTGTGAGTGTGGGTCGGTGTGGGTGTGGGTGTGGGTGGGTGTGGGTGGGTGGG